AGCCCTACGCTATGACTCCCAATACTCGTTAGGTTCAACATTAATTATGGTATTTAGCACTAATGTATAAAAAGTTACACAAATGTGCAAAATAGGTATGTTTGGAATGTCCAGACACACCGCAATGAATGGGCAAACTGCACTCTCATAAGGTATCTAAATACACTTTTTTTTTTTTTTTTTTTACATTTTCAGTTAACTCATTATCTGGTTAAATATAAAAATCATAGATTTGTATTCATTAGGTTATAACTGGGGCAGACATTGCTATTTTGTGCTGGTTTATTAGGTTTACATGTTTCAAATAAAATTTTATTTTAGTTCCTTTGACAAACACAAATAAATGTCCAGTGTGTTACTGTAACTTAATAATAATATAATTTTATTTTATTTTTTAAATCCTTTTGTGTGCACCTTAAACAAATTACCTGAGCACACTTTGGTTTGCATACAACCCCACACTAAAACGCACAGGGCTAATGTATCTTTTTTTTTTACAGCTTTAAATAGGACACACAGAAATTGGTTCTATTAAAGGTAATGAATCATTGCTGAGTCACACAGTACTACTGCAACTTCTGCACACGCTGTGGGAAGTGTTCGTAATCCCTTTAAATTAATCTAAATAAAGGTGTTATGGTGCCAGGACGCCCCCAGAGGCACTATTACCTCAAAAAGATAAACCGTTACAGAACGGTTTAACCCCAAAGTTGCCTCCAGCGGTGATGTCCCTACCCCCCAGCGACTGAATTTTCCAATCAGGAAGCACGGAATGCTGCTGGACAGGGACGCTGCTGATGGGCTGAGAGTGATCATCTGATGCTCTCATCCAATCACTGACTGCCCATTCACAAAACTGGTTTAGAAAGGAACTTAACTTTTTGGTGCCAGGAGTGTCCCTTTAATATCACTACTAGGCTCCAAATGTTTAAGCAATATCAATATATGAAACTAAATTGTAGTGGGCATTGAATAAAATATACATATATTAATAAACTTTTTTGGCTGCCAATCCATAAACACATGCAACACTGATATAACAAATATATATATATATATATATATATATATATATATGTATAAACAAACAGGTGATGCCAACAATCTAAAAAGAAAATTAAATTTTTACGAAAAAGTATATCACAAGCATGTACGGAAACTGCTCCCACAAAATAAAAGTTCTCTGGATAGATGGGTGATCCAGCCCACGGTAGATCCGCAGTTTCACAATTAATAGTGGATAAAATAGCTTTAACTCTCAATTAAGCTGATAGCCACAGCAAGCCAATGATGTCACTTGCAATATGACCACCTCTGCACCGTGCATTTGCAGCTAGTCTATGCATTTTATTTCACTAGAGAGTTTTTTCAAGACACTTGATCTTTGCTTTTACTGTGGGAGCATCACGAAGCATGTCTATGTTGAATCCATTGTTTTTGAATTTGGCTGGACTCTGAGGGGTTCTGTAACAGACACCAGTGTGCTATATCCGCGCATACTTTTTTTTTAATATAGAATTTTTCTCAATAACCCCTCGCACACATTGAACACCCCCCCACACACAGCACCCCTTACACACACACACACACACACACACTATACCCCCTCCACACACACTGAACCCCTACACACACTAGACCCCCTTACACACAGCAACCCCTTCAAACACACTGAGCCCCTACACACTACACCCCCCCACACAGCACCCCCTCCATACACACTGATGCCCTACACACTACACCCCCCCACACAGCACCCCCTCCATACACACTGATGCCCTACACACACTAACCCCACATACACACAATGAACTACACACACTAACCCCACATACACACAATGAACCCCTACACACTACATCCCCACACAATGCACCCCCTCCACACACGCACACAGAACCCCCTACACACACACACAAACAGCACCCCCTCCACAAACACTGAACCCCTACACACACACACTACACCACCCCCTCCACCACAAACACTGCACGTCACACACACACTGCACCCCTCACTGCAGTCTGTGTGTATGTATCTAGCAGTCTGTTTGTGTATTCAGCTGTGTGTGTACCCAGCAGTCTGTGTGTGTGTGTATTCAGCAGTCTGTGTGTGTGTGTGGGTATTCAGCAGTCTCGGTGTGTGTTCAGCAGTCTGTGAGTGAGTGTGTGTGTTCAGCAGTCTTTATGTATTCAGCAGTCTGTATATTCAGCTGTCTATGTGTGTGTATTCAGCTCTCTATGTGTGTCTGTGTGTGTATTCAGCAGTCTGTGATTGTGTATGCAGCAGTCTGTGTGTGTGTGTTCAGCAGTCTCTGTGTGTGTATTGAGCAATCTGTGATTGTGTATTCAGCAACCTGTGTGTATGTGTGTGTGTGTATATTCAAAGTCTGTCTGTGTACTTAGCAGTCTGTATGTGTGTGTATTTAGCAGTCTGTGTGTATGTATTGTATTTGTTAGAGGTACCATTAAATATAAACTTCATTTTATCAATAATATAAATTTTATTCCTGTGAGTGGTTGTGTAGGTTGTGCCTTAATGCATTGCTTTGCCCGGGGGCCTATTAAACTGTTACGATGGCACTGGTCTAGGGTATGTGTGTGCTCTGATCACGCTCCTACAAAATGTAAATGAAAAGACACTCATTTGAGTACCAGGAATTCAATCTATGAATGCAGGTTTATACCCCATATATTCTGAGGATATATGCTAAACCACCTTCCAAACTGTATAACCCGTTACACAGGACAAGGAGAAGTTCAGCTCATTGAGAAATTTTACATGAATGAACAGAGATTCTCTACATCCCCCTTTAAAGAAGTAGGGGGCACTACAGAATGCACTTCCTCACTTCACCAGTAATGGCAACCTTAGGGTTAATAAATCTGTCCTGTACATTACTGTATACTAACCAAGAGAATACCAATCATGAGAGAATGGTTAAAAGCGGATAAAATTTGTGTAATTCAGCTTTTTTTGTGTATAACTCTTTATGCAATGTCTGCTTGAGGCAACATTTGTATGTTCCTGTATTCTTTAACGCTCCTGTAGATATAAAGCATTTCTAGATACTGTAACAATCTTCTGAAGATTCTACTGTTTTAATAGTGATTTCAACAAAATAGCATGTTTCACCAAGTATTGAAATTTACCTAATTATAATAAATGATAAAACATATGTTTATCTTGACTAATCTCAGCATATTCAACTAAACAGAGTACAAAACATGCTTGTATTGAAAAAAAAATGCATTTGGACATTTTTTTATATTTTTAACAAAAACATTTATTTCTGTTTACCTAAAGGAAACAAACACATGTCAGGTATTGAATTCCTGGCAGCGAACAGAGCTTGCTCTGCGGGTAATTGCAGTGTCATTTCCACATAAATGTTTTAACCCTTTCAATAATGGCAAAGAATCAATCTTTTGGGTATTGTAGAACTGTAACTTTCATGATGCTTTGCCAGCCTATATAGGCAAGTAATCCGAATTATACTGAAAGGGGTATTGCCACTGCCCCGAAAAAGTACACCAGTCAATAAAACAGTGAAAATCACCTTTAAACTGTGTTAACTTTATTTCCTCATGTAATACTCATTCAAATTTGTTTTGAAGATTTAGCAAGTATTATAATGATTTACCTCCGTCCAGGATCAGCCACCGTACAGTTTGCAAATTAAAGGGACACTATAGTTACCAGAACAACTACAGCTTAGTGTAGTTGTTCTGGTGAGTATAATCCCTATATGCAGGCACTTTCATGCAAACACTGAAAAAAGCATTGGATTGGCTAAGAATCTGCTATTTTGATGATGTCACCAAGGAGGTGGGGCCAGTGCCGGGGGGAACCGCACGGCGCTGGAAATAAGGTGAATTTTTCATGCTTTTAAGAGAGTAAGGAGGGGGAGGGCGGGCAAGCCACCTAAATGGTGGGTTTTGTACTATAGGATCAGGAATACATGTTTGTGTTCTTTACCCTATGGTGTTCCTTTAAATAGAAACATTTTTCCATTTTTCCTCTGCTCTGAACGCTCTCTTCACGTAGAGTGTCAGGTGCAAACTAGAGAGCTTGTAACAGTAACTGACAAGAAGCTATGATGAAGGAGTATATAACAACTCCCATCATTCTTTGCCAGGTTATAAAGATTGGTAAACAGGATTTAATCCAGAGCAGGGTTATCTGCTTTAAAACTACTACATTCAAGATATCTTGCCAGCCTACAGTCAACGGGGAGACTGGAAACATCGCCAAACGTAGCAGAGCTTTTATCAAGGCAAAACCTTGAGTTATTCTGGGGCAAAGTGTAACATACAAAGCAATGGCTAAGGAAACCAATGGACGGTCTTTAAAACACATCCAGTTTGTCTTGCTAAAGCTCCCTTCATAGTTTTCTTTTAACACTTGTACGGTTTACTACTATCTTCCTATTCTTTAAGTTATATCCTTCCCACTCCTATAAAGGCTGGCAAAGCATAATGGGTCTTGATGTTTTGTAACAAGGTTGATGGATACCCGCTGTCTGCATTGGCTTTCAGTGAAATTCTGCTCACATATCTATAAAGACGTGAAAAACGTCTGCACTCAAACCAAAACCACAATCTGTGCCAAGTCCGACAACCCAGTCTTAAAGAGCAAGCAACAGTTTGAAGCCAGCGGGAGCTGCAAATACCATGCTTGAATGCAAAATCTAAACTTGCAACATTCCATTAGTATCTCAACATGTGTATTCTGGCAAACAAAAAAAAACTACACGTACACAAGGAACTGCTAACTATACCCCTCTTGCTAGACATCATATAACACTATCTGTTAATACTAGTTAATATATAATCTGAATATATGATAAACCCAATGCATTTGTCAAAGCAGTAGTGTATCAAATTGTCTTCAATATTAAATATACAATAGCAATAATTTGTCATCTGTTTATCAATGGCACAGTGGCTTTTTTTTTTTTCTGCTTCCTTATCTCACTAAACAAGCTGGTGCAATAAACGATTTACCATTGCAAAATTTCCCAAATACAAACTGTGCCAAGCTCCACCAAACCTTCATTCTCGGGCTCCTGACTTTGTACTTGGCCCTTACCGATGCACTTTCTGATTTCACAACAGCACTGAAGGGCTACAATTAACGTGTCTGGGTGGAAGTTTCATTATGAAAATGTGGGAAATTCCCCACTATACCAGGAATAAAAGAGAGAGACAGAAACTGCTTTCACTTTAGTTGGAGCTGCACAGGGAGACGGATCTCTAACTGCTGGGGGAACGTGAAAGAGAATTTGTGAAGAGAGGCTAAAGTAGCGATGGGGAGTTCGTGGAGAGACACGTGCTGGTAAGGGCTAAGAACAACCAAGGTATGTTTAAAACTCACTATTAAATAGAAGGAAAATGACTGGCACATTAAATTCTATTCTCTGGGCCATATCCTCTAAACAGTGAATTGTGGTAAACTGAGAAACGAATATTGGAACGTTGGAAATATAGCTGAGTTGAAGATGTGTTCTAACTTCACTACTTTGGCCTTAATTTTGCAAATTTGACTTCCAGTTCACCACATATCACTATTTAGTGAATACGCCCCTCTTCATTCCTGCCTGGTTACCTGTGCAAAGGGCAACGTCAGGAAAAAGGGCAGCATGCGTATTGTACTTCACACATCCTGTGGCTCTCCTGACGGATTATATTCTGCAACAGACTCTGCTTTAGCACGAACGGCAGCCTCTGACAGCCATGCTTACCATTTAACATTGTCTGGAAGGTGATTTTAGGAGCCGGTGGGGTTCAGTCATGTTGAATTGTGTCTGGCTATTTGCTTGATTCCAGCAGAATCCATGTCAATGTGAAGGAGAAGAGAAGCGTCCCAGTCCGAGGGTTTGCCAGTGATCTGTCTGCTGTGCTCTTTTTGCAAGCACGCCATGGGCGAATAGCATTTATCAAAATCTCACCCTGTCCCTCCTATGGGCTTTTCTCTTTTTCCATAAGAACTTCCGTCTGTTCAGAATACTTTCAGTTTCATACTGAGAAAATGAATGGTCAGGCAGCATGCACAATCCTTTCCAGATGTATTGCTAGTGTGAGAGTTTTCACGCTGTGTGATCAGGAGCAGCATTTTAACCCCTTACTGGCACTGCTTCTTTGGACGTATGCTAATGTAGCATATCCTCAGGTGTAATTTAACCCTCGTTCATGCAAACTGTGTACCTTGTGAACCGCTTGCTTTTGGGAATCATACCTGCCTCAGACTGAACTTTGACCTTCCACGCAGAGGAGGTGTGCGCCATTCTTTAGTATACATTGACCCTTAAGTCTACCTGTACCCTTTGTAGTTTCTTAAGTCAAAGGGTACAGGTAATCTATCAATTGAGCACTTATACAATCACTGGATTTGGTTTTAGAGAGTCATTAAGTTTACATTTTAACTTGTGTTATTCAGTAAAGCGAAAGGCAAATGACTGGCTGCCGTAAAACTAACCTGTATCTATACCAGGGATAGGCAACCTTCAGCACTCCAGATGTTGTGGACCACACCTCCCATAATGCTCTTACACCCATAATGCTCGCAAAGCATCATGGGAGGTGTAGTCCAAAACATCTGCAGTGCTGAAAGTTGCCTATGCCTGATCTATACTGATACATGCTATTTACTGCAGCAGCTGTCCGACATAACATATTTTGTTATATCCATGACTTTACTGAGAGAGTAGTGGATGCATGGAATAGCCTTCCAGCTGAAGTGGTAGAGGTTAACACAGTGAAGGAGTTTAAGCATGTGTGGGATAGGCATAAGGCTATCCTAGATATAAGGTAAGGCCAGGGACTAATGAAAGTATTTAGAAAATTGGGCAGACTAGATGGGTTCTTATCTGCCGTCGGTTCTTATCTGCCATCACATTCTATGTTTCTATATAACAATATATAAATATAAAGAGAGAAAGACGTTGCAATGCATGCAGCAATCAACAGCATCTGTTTATGGTGGTCAGTTTGGGGGTCTGTTTGATGGATGAAGATGTCTCCTTGCAACCACAGTGAACAAATGTACTATTTCAAATTAAATTGTACTGAAGCAGATTTTTGGGCGCTGTCTATTTAATCTATATTAAAAAAAAAAAAAGCTGACGCAGCTGTATCATATGGAAGTTGAAATCTGCTTTACAAAAATGATGTGTAACATATTTGAAAGGAGTGCATTGTTTCACGTGCCTGTGTACCACGTACCCGTGTTTGATTTCAGTGTACATGTGCTTGTATGGAGTGTACATGTGCGTGTATGCAGAACAGGATTAACCATGAAGCAATTATTATATGGCAACACTAGGTAGCGGTCTAGGACCCACAGTTAATACAGGGGCCTCGCATCCATGAATTTGCTTGGACCCACTAACAACAATGTGAAGAATGAAGGGAAGGCCCCAGGGACCCCAAACTGGGATCTTAAAGGGACACTTCACTGCCCCAAATCACTGCTTTTAATTATGCATTGTTTCATAGGGGGTTTAGCTAAAAAAAAGTTTGCAAAAGCTGCAGATCTCTTGTTTGAAGCCTTTGCAAGCCATCCCCTTCTAACCCTGCCAAGACTTTCTGTGGCTGTCCAATCAAAGACAAGTGCGGTTCAATGCGAAGCCTTTGCAAGGAAGGTGCTCTGAGCAATTGCTGCCTCTTGAGTATAGCTCCACTAAGCTAATGAAACCAGGGAGTAATAAGACCGATTGTCTGCTTGAAAAGCCAAGGTGATGTAACCACATTCATCTGTAAAGGTGATAATTTCTATTTAAATCTGCACTTTTTTTAACATGAAAAAAGAGGACACACTATTCACACATAACGATTTTCAGCAAGCTAAAGTAGTTTAGGTGTAACTCTTTAATCCTTCTCTTCAAGTATGTAGTATATTGTATGCAATCTGAGGAGATTGGCCTTCAAAGCCATTGCCTGAATTTTAATGACAAAATGTAGGTATTCCCCAGGCAGAAGCAAAAACAAAACCAAATTTAATCATAGATTAAAAACAGATTAATCAAAAACAGCATTAGACATAATTAGTGAGCATTGCAGTCCATGTACTGGACTGTGAAACCATTAAGTGATACACAGCAGGAAAAAAAATCACTAGTGCCAAATTGGGACTGTCCTGTCAGATCCAGGACTTCTGGAAAGTATGCAAGGGTTCAGAGTCTTGTTCTGTACCTCTCAAATGTCACACAATTCGAGATCCTTCTGTATCTGAAATCCCACTGTCCATGTTTCATGCAGTGAAGTTATTTTCTCTAAGCCAAGCATCCCAGTTAATGGATAACTAACAATCAAAATCTAGACTAAATTTGCAGAATTTGAACTCTGTGTTCGAGCGAATAACCAAGTGCCACAGCACTAACCCTCATACAGAAATATTTAGTAAACTCAGATTTTCTGTGATTTAAATCCAGATGTAAAACAATAGCCTTGAATTGTTTATTAGGAAAAATTCTCCATCTCAACAATAGTCACAATTTGGCTCTTTGTGCCTCAGTTTTGCTGTTTGGATTTTATTAGCAAAAATTATATTTCTGAATATTTATTTTTTCTTCCAAATGATGTACATAAAAATAAACAGCAATCCTTAGAGTGTTGAGTAAATATTTTCAATATTGCCCGTCTCTTAAACTATCTGTCCAGGTAAACCTGAAATAACGTTTCCCATTATTAATAGACTAAAGACATTTAAAAGTCTGCATTATTAGTTTGAGTATTTAACAAGGAAGTTCACATATGACCCCACACCTCAGTTATATCCGTGATCTAGATATTTTTATTAACATATACATTTTATGGCGGGAACTGAACCTACGACTGTGTGATATTGTAGAGGGAGCTCTAACCACATATGACAAGGAATATCTTTATAGAACATAACACTTAATGTTTACATTGTGGTAGTCAGACTACTAGAAGAAAATCTAACAGAATCAGAATCGCTAAAGCTGATTGTAGTTGTGGTTATGATGCAAGAAGTCTTTTGCGTGGAGTTTTTCCAAGTTCTAACAAACCATTTGCAAGTGGTTTGACAAAAATGAAAAAAAAAAAAACAACAAATCAGGCCTCTGTCATTGAAACTATGAATGCCATAATGTTATCTTAGGGGTGGCGTAGGCGTAGTGCAGCACCTACGGACTTTCATTGGTGCACAAATAACTTCACTGAGTACAGATTTGCACTGATATCGGCAAAGTAAAACTATATTTGGGTGCCGCCAGGGTTCTGTTCTTTTTGGGTTTTTTTTAGTCAAGTAGCTTGAAAAATGTTCGGCAAAAGCTGTACGGACTACACCCAAAATCACCACGTAATCCTAAATACGAAAACAAACTGTAATAATTAGTGTCCCTTTAAGGTAACATCAGAGATTTCATATATAACATGCTGCCAATTTAATACCATTAGAGTTTACAGAGCAGTGTATTGCACACACACTTTAAGTAACTACTATCGCGAAAGTATTATAAATAAATCGTCCTATCGTATTATGCTGCATTTTTGTTTCCTGTGGATTCAGGTCGTTGATCTGGCGTAGTCTTCATGCCAAAACACTGAATTGTTTCCAGTTTGGTTTTTTTCTATATTGTTGTTTGTTTGGTTGTTTTTAATTCGAGAATTAAAGAATTAAATGGAATATGTTGATTAACTTCCACACTAGTGCACACGTACAAAGCAGAAGCATCGAACTGCCTCTCAGTTTTTGTTGACAATAATTCCCATAATACAGGATTTATGAAATGTCTAAAACATCAGCTATGGTGAAAGTTTGGCATGGCTAGTTCATGGTATTAACCGGTAGGCACTCCAGATGTTGTTGACTACATCCTCCATAATGCTCTTACAACCATAATGCTGGCAAAGCATCATGGGAGGTGTAGTCCAAAACATCTGGAGTGCCGGCATTTGCCTGTGCCTGTGGTAGGGTATCAGATTATCACTAATTGAGCTTGAAGAAAGGTTCAGTGAACACATTTACCCATGGATGTCCCATGTGCTTTTACCCTTTTTTTTGATCTTTAAAAACTGATATATTTCCAGTAAATTTTGATGAAGACAACACTGTGAAATGAATTATATCTAATATATCCTTCGAAATAAAGGAGCTCATTATTATGCTAGAATTACATTTGGACTAGTATATCATGTTGTACGAATCATAACAAAGAATAGTATTTTTTTCTGATGACTTTACATTTAATAAACACCCTCAATACACAGGAAAAAGAGAGAAATTAATAATCAACACTAACATAATCTGTTAAACTCACTACACTGCAAAGTAAATGAAACAACACCTGCAAGTTTTCTGGTAGATGTAAACAATTACCAAGGAGGAAAAATAAATGTTGCTTGGAGCAAAGGGAGGTTTGTGCTTGAGAAGAACTTTTAATGTGACATTTCTGACATGAAGTACAAAGACTCATACGTCAGCAATGTGTGAATAATGTCGCCCAAATTACAATACATTTTCAGTAAACGTGACTGAAAATCGGGGGAATATGTTAAATATGTTAATTATTGGAGATTTTAATCAGCCGGACATAAATTGGGATAGAGTGACTAGTACTTCAGCAAGGGGAATCAGATTTTTGAATGTGTTAAATGAATCATTCATGTCACAACTGGTACAAGCACCAACTAGAAAGGATGCTTGTCTGGATCTCGTTATAACAAACAATGTTGATCTTTTGACCAACATTCAAGTAGGGGAGCGTTTGGGAAATAGTGATCACAATATGATAATTTTTAAAATAAACTTTAAAAAGCAAAAGCACGTGGGGTATACTAAAGCGTTAAATTTTTAAAATGCAACAACATATCGACTGGCATAAACTCCTCAGTGAAAAAAACCCACTGAGGATAAGTGGAAGCTCTGCAAACAAATATTAGAAAGGTACATTTCTCAGTATGTACCATTGGGAAATAAATATAAAAGAAACAAATTAAAACCAATGTGGCTTAGTAGAGAAGTAAAACAAGAGATTAAAAATAAGAAATGGGCATTTAGAGCATTTAAATCGGACAAATCAGAGGCATCCTATATAAGATATAAGGAAGGCAATTAAAGTGGCTAAACTTGAAAATGAGAAATTGATAGCCAAAGAATGCAAAACCAACCCCAATTTTTTTTTCAAGTGCATCAATTCTAAAAAAAACCCCCCAAAAAACGAAAGTGTAGGTACACTGGAAACAAAGATGGGTCTGTTAGTGAATGAAGACCAGGAAAAGGCAGACATTTTAAATAACTATTTTTCTTCAGTATATATGTATGAGGATCCTTTGGCAAGAGATATGCAAATGATTGCTGCAAAAAAACTTGCAGATAACTTGTGATTGGATGACTTGAGACCAGGTGCTATAGCAGTTAAAGAAAATCTATGTAAATAAAGCTCCAGGGCCTGACGGTATTCACCCACGAGTACTTAAGGAGCTAAGTGGGGAAATAAGTGAACCTTTGTATTTAATTTTTCAAGATTCTTTTGTTTCAGGTATTGTACCAGAGGATTGGAGGAAGGCAGATGCCGTTCTATATTTAAAAAGGGTTCAAAATCCTTGCCTGGAAATTATAGACCTGCGAGCTTAACTTCTGTGACTGGGAAAATATTTGAAGGGCTATTAAGGGATTATATTCAGGAATTCATTGGGAAGAACTTTGTTATTAGCAATAATCAGCATGGTTTTATGAAACATAGGTCATGTCAAACAAACCTAATTGCATTCTACCAAGAAGTAAGTAGAAGTATAGATCAGGGTATTGCAGTGGATGTGATCTACTAGGATTTTGCCAAGGCATTTAATACGGTTCCTCCCAATAGGTTAGTCTTCATACTAAAAGAAATTGGCACACGCAACTTACACCCTAAATGGTAGTGAATAAGGGATAACCACACATGAGAAGGATTTGGGAATTGTTATAGACAACAAATTAGGCAGCAATTTGCAATATCAATCTGCAGTTGCTAAGACCAGTAAGGTTTCGTCATGTATAATTAGGGGCATAAATTCTCAGAATGATAATATAATTTTGCCTCTTTATAAATTGCTGGTAAGACCACACCTTGAATATGCTGTGCAATTTTGGGCACCTCTTCTAAAGAAGGATATCATAGCACCAGAAAAAGTGCAGAGACGAGTTACAAAAATGATAAAAGGAATGGAGCATTTTAGTTATGAAGAAAAGTTAAAACATTTAAATCTCTTTGGTTTGGAAAAATGGCCCCTCAGAGGGGATATGATAACATTATACAAATATATTCGGGGCCAGTGCAAACAATTATCTGGAAATCTATTCATAAACAGGGCTCGAAATAGGACACAAGGTCACACATTTAGGCTGGAAGACAAAGAATAGTTTTTTTACAGTAAGATCAATAAGAATATGGAATTCTTTGCCTGAAGAGGTGGTTTTATCAGAGTCCATACAGATGTTTAAACTGCAATTGGATAAATACTTGCAAAAACATAACATACAGGTATATAATTTCTAATTAGTGGGGTAATAGCTGCTTGATCCATGGAGATATCTGACTGCTATTTTGGAGTCCAGAAAGATTTTTTTTTCCTAGTTTTTTGCAAAATTGGAAGCGCTTCAAACTAGGTTTTTTTGCCTTCTTTTGGATCAACAGCAAAAACATATGTGAGGAAGGCTTGTAACTGCAGCTTGTTCCCTTATTTACCACTATAAAGTCTTAAAGCATGGAACTTGGCAGGGCTAACCATACAGATATCTTAGCCATAATTTTATATAGTTAGTAAGATATCCTCTATTTAAAATATATAGGTAATTGAGAATACAATATAAAATAAGGATTGTCTTGGAAGCAATAAAGTTTTTTCTTTTAGGTATTTTTTTAAATAAAAATATGAATATAGACATATGAAATTCATTACAATAGTTTATAGCAGAGTTTATAAGATTAAACTATATGCTTGCAATATCTTAATAGATTAACATACCCTCCTGAACATGTCATAATGTCAGATTCTCTGTCATTATAAGATGGAGCGTCTGTCTCCAAATCTCTTCTTTCTGTGTTAACATTTAAAAGGTACACATATTTATACCTTAGGTGTCTTCATTTTAGTGTTACCATAGTTCATATATGAAAAAGTAACATTTCTTTTACTTTATTAATTTTAGGACCTCCCTTAAATTAAAGTACAAGGCCATACCTAACGCATAAGGGGGTGCACGCGTCATGGGAAGTTCCCTGACTTAAGACAACATGGCATCTTAAAGTCTGAACATCTCTATCTATTTAGGGTTACCTCAGTATATTAGGTACTGAAAGAGTCATAGCATAGCCTTGAAGCTTGTTTATGCATTATTGTTATTTTTTTTCGTGTGGGACAAAATGGTGTAAACATATTATGCACTGAAAGTAGGTAAAAGGTTATTGCTTAAAGAAACAGTTATGAAAAACAATATTTCTAAAACCTTGTCAGTTTGTAATCTCTCTTAAAGACAAAGTACACAGGTAATCGTCCTGGGTCATCATTCAAATTGGTTTAAATAGAAAAATAATGAAAAGAGTATGTTGAATAAAATCATTGACTGGTGTACAATCTCAAAAGTTCGATAAGCACTTTATCTCTTTATCTCTTCTTCTCAAAATGATCAATATGCAAACAAAGCGCAAAGTAAGAGCATAGAATGGAAATTGTAAGAGATAAAAACCACACATCTTTTTATAACTCAATTGTTAATCATCTAGTCTCTTGCCTTAACCAGACCCAAGCTTAAATTACTGATTGCATCAAGAGCAAAAACTATTCCTTAGCACAGAATGACATATGTTTCCGTGCTCTGATGTGTGTGATGAATCCGGCCATATAACTTGTCTTATTACTGTTACAAACTTTAACAAACACAAACTCTACACCGCACCGCTTTCCAAATAGAAAAGCAAGGAGGGTAATTAATATCTGAAGGCAGGTACAATGTAACCTTGCACTGCTCTCTTTTGTTTCATTCTTCTTTTAAACATTTGGAAACATGTGCAAATAGTCTCAATTCATGAAACCACATGATATCCCGTCCACTTAAATTATGCTTGGCATTCACTTCCCTTTTCACCTGCAATTATAGCATAAACCAAGATGGAATTTAAAGAGGTAGCTAAGATTCAGTCGACTAGCAAGTATGCCTTTCTCATACAATACTCTTCTATTAAAGGGACACTATAGTCACCAGAATAACTACAGCTTATTGAATTTGTTCTGCTGAGTAGAATCACTACCTTCAGGCTTTTTGCTGTAAACACTGTCTTTTCAGAGAAAATGCAGTATTTACATTACAGCCTAGAGATAACTTCACTGGCCACTCCTCAGGTGGCTGTTAGAGGTCCTTCCTGGGTCATGACTGCCTAAAATGCATCCAAACATTCAGTATCTCCTCCCTCTGCATGCAGACACTGAACTTTCCTCCTAGAGATTCATTGATTCAATTCATCTCTCTGAGGAGATGTTGATTGGCCAGGGCTGTGTTTGGATCATGCTGGCTCTGCTCCTAATCTGCCTCTTTGTCAGTCTCAGCCAATCCTATGGGGAAGCACTGTGATTGGATCAGGCCACCGCTTCTGATGATGTCAGCAGACTGCTTGTTTTTCTGAGTCTAACAGCATGCAGAGTTACAGCTTTAGGCTTGAATACAGTAAGATTTGTACTATATTTATGGAGGCATGAGGGGCCAAGGGGGGCTAGATATAGGGTCAGGAATACATGTTTGTGTTCCTGACCATATTGTGATCCTTTAAACTCTTTAGAAAATCTGCCTGTACTGTCAAAATATAATTAGATTATAATATTGTCTTGTCAATAAGGTGTTACAGAATCTTCTGTAGCTAGCATAAAGAAAATAACAATATGCACCCAAAGGAGAAAAACAAGACTCTCAAGTACATATTGTCAATCTGGTTCTATTTTTCCTGATATTCTAGACAGAGCAATATACACATTGCTTAGAGCTAATGACCCACTGCTTCTATAGCTATGAAATTTAACTCACCAGTCATCTATGGCAGTGTTATTTAGTTATGTGTACTTTATCAAACAATATAATTAACATATTGATTCAATTCTATCATTGTTGTTTGCTAACTGATCTTTCCATAAAACGTGAAACTTATTTTTAAAAATTGGCACAGCTGAACCATTTTTCCAAAAATATAAACAATTTTGAAACACTTGAAAAGTGAAAAATGCAAAGTTATGCACTTCTGCGTAAAGAATACCCAAGCAACGTATACCCTTAATGGAAGTGAATTAGGGATTACACACGAAAAGTACTTGGGAATTGTTATAGACAACAAACTATGCAACAATGTGCAATGTCAATCAGCAGTGGCCAAGGCCAGTAAGGTATTGTCATGCATGAAAAAAGACATTCATTCTCGGGATGAGAATATCATTTTGCCTCTTTATAAATCACTGGTAAACCACATATTGAATATGCTGTGCAATTTTGGGCACCTGTTCTAAAGAAGGATATTATGGCACTAGAAAAAGTGCAGAGGCAGGCTACAAAATTAATAAAAGGAATGGAACATATCAGCTATGAAGAAAAGTTAACAAATTTAAACCTCTTTAGTTTAGAAAAACGTCGCCTGAGAGGGGATATGATAACAACATTATACAAATATATTCGGGGCCAATACAAACCATTGTGTGGAAATCTATTCACAAACCTGACTTTACATAGGACACAAGGTCATGTGTTTAGACTGGAAGAAAGAATATTTAGTCTAAGGCAAAGAAAAGGTTTTTTTTAATGTAAAAACAATAAGGATGTGGAATTCTCTGCCTGAAGAAGTGATTTTATCAGAGTCCATACAGATGTTCAAACAGCTACTAGATGCATACTTGCAAAAACAGAATATTCAAGGATAAAATCTTTCAATGTAGGGTAATAACTGCTTGATCCAAGGATATATCTGACTGCCATTCTGGGGTCAAGAAGGAATTTTTTTCCTAGCTTATTGCAAAATTGGAAGTGCTTCTAACTGTTTTTTTTTTTGCCTTCTTTTGGATCAACAGCAAAAAAATTTGAGGAAGGCTGAACTTGATGGATGCAAGTCTCTTTTCAGCTATGTAACTATGTAACTTGAATTTTGGCCAAAGGTTTGGCTCAGCAGAATTCCAGAACCATGATTCCAAATTCGGGAACCGAAGCAGAAGAATAATAGGGCACAAAAATAGACCAATTAGTATGCTCAAAATGTACGCGTAATAGAATATTGTGTGGTGTATTTTGCACTACACGGATTTACTAATTACTAAACATATTACTAAATATTAAGATCAAGTTCTTGATGTAGACCCGAATGGGTCGAAACGATCAGTTATTTTTGTGACTTTATGTTCCAATAAGCACCAATGAATTTATGGAAGACCTGTGAGTGCCCCTTTTTTCTAATTTGGTATATATTTCAGCGTGGAATTGCACCAAGGCACTGTATTTGGATATTATGGACTAGAGGGTGAGTGCCATTTTTTTAACGTAAAATTTGTCCTGAAAAAAAGTCTACTTGTTTGTTCAGTTTATACAAAGAAGAAGTCAACGTTTCAGTCCTAACCAGACTTTTCTCAGGACAAATTTTACATAAAAAAAAAAAATGTATATATTGGCAACTATGACACCCCACTAGCAGTAGTGGCAACTATGACACCCCATCCCTTGCAGCGTGTATGCTTAAAGGGGTGGCAAATAATATATATTCTTGGTGGTAAGATCACCCAGTATTTTCATATTTCTATTGTGTCATATTTTTTCATCAATTTGCCATTTGTGAATCAAGCAAATTGATGGAAAAAAAATACAAAACCAAATGAAAAACTAAACCAAATGCTAACACACACACAATGAGTTAATCACTGTTACTGACCTTTAATGAATTGACCCAGAGGTTCCATGTCCAAAATAAACCAGATGTTCTTAATTTAAATAAGGCCATTAGAAATTGCAATTCCTGTGGTCATAGAAACCCTGTTTTGAAATCCTGCATACCAGACCAGGAATAGAAATGTGTACTTCTGCTATCCAGGAGACAAGACAAATCTGATTATTTTTTAATATAGCGAAAGTGTACAACGATTTAAAGCACAGTCTTCATGTCACTTTTGCTTTGAGCTTTATTGTCCGTTCCTTATTTTCTGCTTGTGGAAGCATGACAAAAGGTAACCCTTGCTGACTATCTAGTGCACACATAAACAAACATTGTATTAAAAAAAATTCACGCACAGGAAGTCTGAGACTCCATTACAAGATTTCATTTTAAATCCTGTATTGAAATATGTGAGCTGTGCAACAGATATTCCAAATTTTGACTTGGTTTTAAATATTTTTAAATTTGTTTATTTATTATTATTAATGAGGATTTACTGTGCACGTAAAATTTCAGTGCCTTAGGACTTTATTATTTAGGCACCATAAATGTTCAGGGTTTGTTTATTTTCTAAATTGAGTCATACTGTGTGAGGACCAAAATGTAGACTTTGTTGCCAACCATGTCAATGGTTTAAGTGCCAAAGTTGTAAAACCTGCAATGCATCCTTGGAAATAAAAAAACACTGTGTAACTATTTAACCTTCTATCCTCCCTTGTGGACAAATTGTACGTTTATGTTTTGAATAACTATTGTCTACTTCCTTTAGACTATAGTTTCATTGAATCAGGGCCTTCGTTATCACTTTGCTCCAGTATGCTGAGCTTGTATGTCTTGTTTTTATTAATTGTCTTTCACTGTGGAATTTGGTGTTGCTAAGCTAATGACAATTGCTACCCAACGGGCAAAACTTTAGGGCTTTGTCCATTTTTAGTGGAAGTGCCTATTTTAACCTGTTTTTCCCACGTTCAGATAATATTGTAGCATACAATGAACACAATTAGAACCCGTAGCTTAAATTAATAATAAAGTCACCCTTTCCAAGTTCTGTTTTAAGGGTTATTCACGGTGTTTATTGAAAAGAATTAAAAATTTTAGTACAAATTAGCAAATATTGGAAAAATATCTAGATCAGCTCTGCATTTAGTTATATCTAATAAAATGTTAAATTCAATTTGAATTAACTTTATGTTCCTGATGATTCACACTGAGTATATAACCTTGTCTGTGTTGTAGTGAGATAAGAATTGGCACACAAAAAAATAAACTATTTCTGACATTTCATATTTCTAGTGAATCCATCCATGACTGTCTCATCCCATTACACACTTTATTTATTTATTTATTTATTCTTCTGTCTTTTTTCCTCCTGTTTCCTGTTTGTATCTGTATTTGTACCCTTGTATCTATTTGTTGTTTCCTTGTAATCATCTTTTATCCACTTTGTTTAATGTCTTGAATTTTATTTGCGTCACTGGTTGCTCACAGCTTAGTAGACATGCCACTACTCTTAGCACAGCGGGTAAGTACAGAAAAGAGAATTTATCCTCCCTTATACCCTTATACTAATATGGGAGTCATATTGACACCCATAGAGTGGGGGGCATGGGAGATTTAAGAAAATGGCAGAGAGCACAGCTCTCCGCCCCTTCTATTTTTAAATATAAGAAGGAGGAAGCTGCAAGCAAGTTACTCCCTCTTGGTAATAAAATAAAACAAACAAAGAATGAGTTGCAGGAAGAAATTTCATTTAACAAGCAATTTGGTCTTTGTATCATTCAAAAGCAAATGCCCATGATTACTGTGAAGTGGGCATGCGCGAGAATTTCACTGCACAAGCTAGTGTGGACCAACGACGATGATGCGGTAAAGTTCATCTATGATCACTAAGATGGCAGCGCTTAGGACATAGATCCGGAGAGGAAATGAAGCAATAAAAAGGTGAAATGGGGGACATAGAGGCATTTTGGTGTGACTGTAGTTACAATAAAGTGTAGAGGAGTCGGGAGAGGGGTTAAAAAAAGTTGATTAGTTTTAAGCCAATACATTTTCACAGTTACGTTTTGGAGAACCACACCATATTTTATTTGGTGCATAGTTATTATCCATTATACTGTAAAAAAAGAGATAGAATAGACGCAGCTGAACTATTTAATTTGATTTTATGCTTGGTTTGTTTAGATCGATTATTCTTTCTCTATAAAATAAGTACAAAAAATAACGTGCTATCTTTTTGCATCTACGTGATTTTTTTTCCACTTTTCATTACATGCAATATATTCCCAAATCACAATTCTTCATAAGGCTTACACTCCAGGGATATCATAGAACACATTGAATCTGTATGATAGGAAACTGCTGGACACATTCTAAATAAATCCCTTTAAAAAAAAAAAAAAAAAACTATTAATGCAAAGTCCATCAAACAATTTGATAGTATGTTTTGTTGAATTATTCATTAAGGTTATTCAGTAAACAGCAGCTATAGTACAGCTTGGCAATTTAAGTCTAAATTGTACAATGCTGACAGGAGTGTTTTCGTTGATTGTAGCACTCTGCCCTGGTTTTGACATGCTAATTATATCTTTTAGTATGTTTTATTTTCTTTTTTGGCCTATACCCAGATAGTGTGTCTATGGACTGTTTGAGCTAGAAATGGTTCTGCCAGATTCAAGATTAGTTTAAATGTAGAAAGTAATCCAGGCACACCAAAGTGTTCCAAAAGATAGGCAATTTTCATTGGACCCAAGAACCACTATATTTTGGAACACTTTGGAGTGCCTGGATTACTTTCTACATTTAAACTTTACATTTGGTCCTTTTGGTACTGGGACTGATCCGGTTAAGCACCCAAGGATTCCAGGGTGAAGGGTTTGAGTGCAGTTCCACTACCTGTATATAGATTCCAGATTAGTGACATATTTTGTTTTATTACTGAGCATCTTTAGAAGGACCAAGCCTATACTTCTGTGACATTCTCCAGTGAGGTGTCAAGTTGCCCACCAATACTAGGCTTTGACAAGTTAGAGTCAGGATAGAGCTGCTATACACGTGCATTGTGTGTTATGGAAGACCAGGTTACAACACCCTGGGTTCTACTGCAATACATAAATTAACATTGTTTGTTGACATGTTAATATGGAATCAATAATACCTGATATCTATACTTTGCAAACGTTCACCTGTCAGTTAACTTAATGCCTGTAATAAACGGAACTCTGGTGTGATCTAGTCTGATCTATAATTCCAGCATCCAAACAGATTTAGCCATTCTTTACCTTTTTCAGTGGTCACCAAACAGACCATCTTGCCCAGAAATGGACAAGCCAACAGATAGACATCTGACCGAACATCAATCTTTGTAAATGGGACTCAAGTCCATATAAGGCGGTTTTCAAACCCCAAAGTATAAATAAGGAAGAAATGTTATATTATTTCAAAGTGAGTTATCCAATCTTTTTTCTTTCATCTAGGCTGTTATGCTTCTTAATGCAACTGTGATTTGTGAGACTTTGGGCAGTAAACCTCAAATTATTCTAAAATAATTTAGCTATAGGAAAATTCCAACTAAGCAGAATTGTTTTATGACTGTGTACTTTTGGTCTACATTTTTTAAGTGAATAAACTCTTATGTGTTGGTTGCATGTGTGTACTGCCTTAGGAGTGCGCGACCTATGCGATCACACTAAGGGGCAGATGGCACCACACTCTCCTTCAGGAATCTATGCAAGTACCTGTAGTCTAGCAGAACTGTCATAGCTATCAGTGCCTACCTTCTTAACCAAGAGCTCATAGAGATAACTGCAGGTTTGCTAAGGAGGAAAACAGGGAGCTACCCAAAATTATATTTGGCATGTAGGTTCCATGATGCACTTCCAGTTCATTAGACTGACTGGGCACCAGGAGAATTGCACCACAAATATCTGGAGTTTGATTTTAAAAAATGATTTGAACTACAGTTCCTACAATGCTCCATTTGCCTTTAAAGTTGGCTAAACATCATGGAGGTGGTACTTCACAATGGTACTTTACTTTGGGTATAATGGCCTAATTTCACCTTCACATTATAAACACAGGAAAATTATACAAACATAGAAACACCTACACACACACACTTACTTGCACAGCAATAGCCACAGTTAGTGATATTACACACATGAACAAGGATGTTCCTGCACACAGACATTGGAGGGACGTTATTACAAAGCCTCATACAGATCACCTGAAGGCCTAAGGCTGGCCCTTCCTGCATAGTAAACCACACAGACCAATGCACAGTATTTGCATAGTTTGCAATGGGTTTGTAGTCTGGCTTGAAATCAAACACCTCTTTAGTCAGCAAATTTAATTCACTTCCTCATTAACTGTATTTTCTACTAACGTGTCCCAACTGCACTATATCAGTTTTGTTCCTTATGTTTCACTCCTGGCTTGCAGTTTGCCACTGTCGTTAGAAATGAAAGCAAAAGAGGCAGCTTATTGTACCCTCTGTATCGTATAAGGTGTAATTTATTAGTAAAATCAAATTTGAGAATGTTCACTTCTCCAAACATGGTCAGTTAAAAGAAATTGGTCAATCAAAATATCAAGGCCATTTGGGGGTTTCTGAGAAGTTTTGAAGAAACAGAATGGAGAGAGATTTATCAAAATGATCTGAAAAGTGTGTTTTAGAGGATCAACAATCTGTCCCAATTTACTGGTTTTATTGTTTGCAAAATAATCTGAAAAGTGTTGCCTTATTCTAAGAATACAAATATCCTGTGCCATGCCTTTTCAACTGTGTCAAATGTCTAATAAACTGCTATTTAAAACAAATATCCTGGCTCCTGGTTAACTAAAAAATAAAATCTTTTTTTGATTTGTTAAAATAAATTTGAAGATTAAGATTATAAGATTAAATTGAATGTTCTATACATTATAAAAAACATGCAAAAGAAAAAAAAGACTGTCGTGCAACATTTTGATAAATCTTCCTCACAACTAAAGTTGTACTATTTTGATCACAAAGTTCTAGCAAAATATTTTTATCTACATTAAAACACTCTGAAAATCCTAACTACCATACCTCTCCGTGGTTAGAGTACCAAGAGTCTCCCGGTGTCGCCCTCGGTTTAATAGCAAAATATTTATAAACGGTTTGATATATACCAGAGCTGCTCTGATCATCAAAGGATCTTTTCAATCTCATCATCATTAATAATGTTAAATTATTACTTCTGCATTCTCAATGTAAATTTTGATCAATCTGGATGACTTTGATTGAATAAAAATGCTGGGACAACATTTTTGGAAATAGTTTGGTGTTAAACTAAATATGGTGTCTAAAACCGCTTAGAGTGCCCCTTTAAATACTAAAATCAACTATTTGGCACATAAGATCTAAAGCATTTCCCCATTCAATTCCAGTGATCTGAAAGAAATGCTTGTGCTTCCGCTATATAATGCATTGGATTTAGTGAAATCAAACATTTTATTTAGCGGTTCTGGAACATGCCTTTTTTTTAAATTTATTTATTATTATGCATTTTATACCAGACATTTGCTGTGTTTGGTTTATTTTAAAACCTAAGTTTGTTTTCTATGGACATTTACATAATACATCATAGAAAATAGATATGAAAGAACATAAGATTGCTAACTTTAAAATTACATTTATTACACAAAACCATTTAATCAATCACTGAGCGAAATATTTGCGGATATCAATACTATTAAAAGGGTTTTTTTTTTTTCAACAAAGCCATCAAAATATTTAGACTCTAGTTGAATAAAGTCGATGTTGTGATATATATTTAAAAGGATTCTTTGTTGCTGTGTGTGGAGTTGACCATCCCTTTTTAATGCATTACCTAAATAATGCATCAAAAATTAAATGAAAACATGATAACCCCTTTAGTTTTGTAACTGCAGTGTGCTCTGTGCTAAGCTAGGAAGTAGCCATCTTTTAGACATTGTTAGCTATGCCATTGTTTTCACTTGATTTGGAGAGCTGAGATTTATGAGATATTTAGTCCAGCAATCAGCAGAAATCCCATCTTCATAAACAAATTTTGTGAAACTATTGCCAACAGCTAATTTGTAGTTTTTGTGAATGGAAGTATACAAATAAGTAACGAAGAAGCCAATTAGAGGACATGAGGATCTGGAAGGAGCTGAAGCTCCATCAATTCCATTTATAAAAAATAAATAATGCAAGTAATATTTTAATCTTAATGGTGAGGGTAAATAGCATGACAAATTGTATTTTATTTTTTCCACCGTAGATTGTGTTTGTGGTTTGATTTCATTTTACTTTTAGTAATCATTTTCACTTTACTAATCCTTACATAAAATTGTGTAATGGTAATATTGATAGTCGGCCACGGAAAGATAATTACATGTCATTTATAGAAGTCAGATTTGGAACGCATTTGAAAAATAAAAAGAAAATCTGTGCTGATTCTATTTCCAAAGTTAAAATGTTTTAATTGTTTTCATGCTAGTTCAACAACAATCTACTTTCATTTTCTTTATACTATTCTGTGTACATTTATTTTGAAGAGCAACCACTTCCTTGATAGACAAATGGATAGACAGACCGACAGATTTAGAATAGTTGTTTTTTTTTTTAAAACTTCATACATAACATATTGTTGGATTTTTCCATTACATAAAAATATATTTATGTGTCCATTAAAAACAAAACAAAAAATGCATTGTCGTGAGTTGACAAAACAGACCAAAACTCTCTTTGAGGAAAAAATAAAAACAGTTTTCTTGAGGCTGTCTATTTTATTTTACATTAATTTAATATTATTTCTTAAATGTTGTGGCTATTTGTTATCTCATTAAACTTTCCTGTGTATTTATGGATATCTCTGTACATAAAGTCCTATCATTTCTGGGGTAGATTTACTGGAAGGTGCTGACATATTGTATGCCATTATAGCAATGTTACCCCAAAATGATCTTTACCAACTGTGCTGTGTCAGCAGATTAAAACGTCTGAGCATATTAAAGCCTCTGAGTGAGGTATAACTGCTACGTAGGAAACTATAGAAACTTTTTGTTGTAATTTTTAGAATGAAAAAGACAGTTTTCCAGTAGAAAATATTTGCCTTGTGACACCAAAAAACAGTTCTCGCTAACTTCAGCTCTGATCTGCTGATAAGTCAAAATATGGTTAATAAAAACCATAAAAACAAATAATATATTCCAGGGGGCATTTTTTGCCAGTGAGCAATACTATAGTGGACTATGGGCTGCTGGCTCACAGAACAATACTAACATATATTATTATTGTTGTATTTTAATCCTTGTATTTAAAGGAACAATATAGTCACCTAAATTACTTTAGCTAAATAAAGCAGTTTTAGTGTATAGATCATTCCCCTGCAATTTCACTGCTCAATTCACTGTCATTTAGGAGTTAAATCACTTTGTTTCTGTTTATGCAGCCCTAGCCACACCTCCCCTGGCTATGATTGACAGAGCCTGCATGAAAAAAAAACTGGTTTCACTTTCAAACAGATGTAATTTACCTTAAATAATTGTATCTCAATCTCTAAATTGAACTTTAATCACATACAGGAGGCTCTTGCAGGGTCTAGCAAGCTATTAACATAGCAGGGGATAAGAAAATCTTAATTAAACAGAACTTGCAATAAAGAAAGCCTAAATAGGGCTCTCTTTACAGGAAGTGTTTATGGAAGGCTGTGCAAGTCACATGCAGGGAGGTGTGACTAGGGTTCATAAACAAAGGGATTTAACTCCTAAATGGCAGAGGATTGAGCAGTGAGGCTGCAGGGGCATGTTCTTTACACCAAAACTGCTTCATTAAGCTAAAGTTGTTCAGGTGACTATAGTGTCCTTTAAATTTTTTTTATATAAAATGAAGAAAGGTAGTGTGGTGGATCGATGTGCTACTTTGGTTTAAAGCTGCCCCCCTCCCCCTTGCAGACAAGGACCAAAAACCACACAGAATTACACACAAGAGAGACCATTTTTTCCCAAAAGAAAATGCAAAAGCATTTGTGCATGCTGAATATTAAAAAAGGTGCTCAGAATACTTAATAGTTTCTTAACACATTTAGCTGTGTAACTTTAAACTGACCAAATCATTCACACTAAGTCTGGAATATCACAGCTACAATTCTAGCTAGGCTACTTGTTTTAACAAGCAACTTCAACAAAAATAAATGTTTTCACAAAATATTAATTTTATATTTAAATACAAATTGAGTTAATTCATTAAACCAGCTATCTTGAATTTATTTTCAAATTTTAGGCCAAATAACTTTGCTACAGAAAATAGACAAATTGATTAATTGTTCCCAAAATACCTGTACTCGACTAAAATCCGCAATTCTTTTGTGATTTTTATAATCTACTGTTTACTGAACAAACCCCAAAGCTTCAAATAGTAAGACAGAAATTTATGCACTGGAGTTAAATATAATGATTTCTTCTCATTTTTACAGCATTTCACTGCAATAACATTTAGTGTACACATTCACTTGTACAACTGCCTCAGTCCTTAAGGGATTAATGTGCATTTTTAAGTACAATAAATATCTTCTCCATAATAAATGTAAGTACCCCACATACATGCTTTCCTGTTATTCAGAATAAAATAGGATAGATTTATGTTTTATTTTGTTTATAACAACTCCATGTTATTTTTTTGTTCTACCAGCAAACTGTAAAAAGACAAATTAATTACAATCCACTTTTATTTTGTATTGAAAATTACATCAATCGTTAATGTGAAAGATTTACAAAACATGATTTGTAACAAAAAAAAATGTAGTTATCAGAAATTAATTCAGTACAGTTGTGTTTTTTGTTTTTTTCATTTGCTGTAGTTCATTCTATGCAACGAAATAAAAAATAGAAAATCTAAGAAACATCGAGTGTTTGAGAGATACGAGAGGTCAATAGATAAGAATTTGCACAAACTACATAATAACTTAAATTTAAAACATGTAAAGACTATTTAGTAACACGATTTAGCAGATGCAAACAATGTTAAAAAGAGGAGGAATCCCCTGGAATCCCTATTAACCCCTTGAGGACACATGACATGTGTGACATGTCATGATTCCCTTTTATTCCAGAAGTTTGGTCCTTAAGGGACCACTTCTTGGCAATACATTATTTGATCCTCTGTATCACTGATTTCTTTTCCATAGGTGTTTTCATCTACGTTCCTCTGTGATTTGCTTCCAAAGTAAAGAGTGATGATCCCAAAATTCATCAAAGGTCTGCCTCAGTCTGATTTACTGAATTCCTACATTTCTGCAAATCAGGTTTTAGCATTTTAAATGAGATGGTATGTTTTTGACACTTCCTGTGGAGCTGGTTTACACTCTTTCAAATGGAGCAATGCCCCACGTAACATACTTTGGCTACCTTAAATGTTAGCAGGCAGGGCAAACCACTAATAGAGTTATCTTGTCTCTATGATAGATATACTAAGTGAGGAAAGACTGTACATAATTTCTGGAACATTCTACAAGAGATAACTAAAGTTAAAGTGCTACTTACATTTGTACATGTACTTTTTTTTACACCTCATGGTGTCCTTCTCTCCCCTCCTTCAACCCTTGTGATTCTCATCAACTGCAAAATCTTGCTTTGACTATTTGTTCTCTCTAAGGACTTGCTGTGTAACTTACATGTCTGTAGCCATAAACCAGCATAATAGTTATTCGTTAAACCCAAATTCAGCACTTTCTCCTAGGGCTAAAATAAACTCGTAAATTTACCAATATGGTATAAAATGTGACTAAATGTAATGCAAAGTAACACAAAATAAAATATATCCTAAAAAGCTACAATCAATATATAGTATTATTAATATTTATATAGCATCAATATATTCTGCAATGCTCTAGGATTAGAGAAGGGGTGAAGAAATGCTCAAATGAGCTTACAATCTATGGTAGGTGGATATATGTTGTTAGGTGTCCTTATCCAAGGACATGTACTGGCCTAACTGGGTTTCAAGTCTAAGTTTTCAATTTCTATGGCAACAATGTTACCACTGCCATAAAAATAATAATAATTTTATCTGTTTATCTATCTATATTTTTTATTATATTTTTTATTTATTTATTTATGTTTATTGTTCTTGAATTTTTTATGTTTTATAATTTTATTTTCTATGATATATAAGATAATGGGCCTTGTACATTCAAATAATATTTTTTCATATATATATATATATATATATATATTAAAATTCTTCTTTCAGGAATATACAACCCACTAACATTCATTAATATCAAGTTTCTATGTCCAGACATCAAAGGTCCCTAGGGGCGTTAAATATTTTAATTGAACAGCTGCTTTCTGATGAATAATACAAAGATGAATCCAAAGTATTAAACATGTATCTTATTTCATCATTTGGAACATGAAATATTTCTGTAAAATAAAGTAATAGATATCTTTAGGAAATAGCAGAATGTTTTAAGTAAAGATGAAAAAGAAAAATATGTAAAAGAATATGCACAAATTGCTTCATACTGGAAGTAATTATTAAAATTTTATTGTAACGAGGAATGTTAGGTCATTTGTAGCATCAATTTTAGTTACTTGTAACCATGATAGCTATCACCCCAGGACATAGCAAGAATAATCTACATGTTTTGACCCAATACTTATTTACAGAGTATATTTCTTTTTTTTACATTCCCCCGCCACCAACATCAGCATCAGTGATGTTCTCAGTAATATTTAAAGGTAATCAAGGTTATTAACTAAAGTCAAAATTCAACGTTTATTATTATTATTTTATTATTTAAATAGTGCCAGCAAATTCCGTAGCACTGTACAATGGGGGGTGGGGAGGAGACTAACAGACATGTAAATATAATGCTGGAGTAGTCGAACTAAAACAATAGCTGACTTAGAATAATTTTCCATTTAAGCTATATTGACCTTAAATTTGAAATTCACTTTGAGTTCACTTTGAAATCTCACTATAGTAAATAACAGTGTTACAATACAGGATTATATATAACACTTTCAGGGCTATTCACTATAGTGAGAATTGTTCGGAATTCCAAGCTAATTTATAATTTAAGGTCAAAGTAGCTGAATTGAAAATATAGCCGACTTCAAGGATTTTGAAGTTTGGCTATTTTGGAAATTCACTTGAAATTCACTTAACCCCTTAACGCCGTTCTATGCCGTCGCGGCTTTAAAGCCGTTGCGGCGGCATAGAACGCCGTAACGGCTTTCTGCCCCAGGGGATCGCAGCTACTTACCTCCGCTGTGATCCTCTTCTGGAGGGCTGCCTGACCGCCCAGGCAGCCCTCCTCCGGCAAGTGAGGCCCCCGGATCTTCCAGCAGGGGGACTGTCTGAAATATCAGACAGTCCCCCTGCTGGTGGGAAATGTAAAAAAATAAAATTAGACCTGTTTTAAAATAAATTAAATACTATATATATATATATATATATATATATATATATATATATATAACGTCATACGTTGTGTATTTCAATACTAATATAAGTATATATTAGTATTAAAATACACTTAGAATGACGTTACATATATAATATGTATATATATTATATATAATAGATATATACACATATATTATATATATATGTATAATTACATAAATAAATAAATAAAATAAATAAAATATTGAAACAAAATTTTATTAAAATTATATATTCATATGTAATTTCATTCTAACTGTATTTTGTTATTAATATATATATATATTAGTAACAAAATACACTTAGAATGACATTCTATATATATATATATATATATATATCTATCTATCTATCTAAAATACAAATAACCGCAAATAAATATATATATATATATATATATATATATATATATAAATACATATTACATAAAAAGATTACATTAGTATACACGTAGAATTTAAATACCTATAAATGCATATATATTAAAATTCTACGTGTATATTTAAGTAATCTTTTAACATAAGTATGTTATTTGATTAATTAAAATTTGATTGACATGCCTGACAACACAGAGAAAGTGCAGAGGATTTAATTCGCAAGCACTATATTTGACCCTGTAACTCTCCAAGACACCATAAAACCTGTACATAGGGGGTACTGTTTCTCAGGAGACTTCGCTGAACTCAAATATTAGTGTTTAAAACTGGCAAATTGTATTACAACGATGATATTTTAAGTAAAAGTGACGTTTTTTGATTTTTTTTACAAACAAACGGCACTTTTATGCACTATATTATTGTTGTAATATGTTTTACTGTTTTAAAACACTAATATTTGTGTTTAGTGAAGTCTCCAGAGAATAACAATACCCCTCATGTACAGGTTTTATTGTGTTTTGGAAAGTTAGAGAGTCACATATAAGGCTTGCATTTCATTTTTTTGACATTGAAATTTGCCAGATTGGTTATGTTGCTTTTGAGAGTGTATGGTAGCCCAGGAATAAGAATTACCCCCATGATGGCATACCATTTGAAAAAGTAGACAACCCAAGGTATTGCAAATGGGGTATGTCCAGTCTTTTTTAGTAACCACTTGGTCACAAACACTGGCCAAAATTAGCGTTCAATTTAGTTTTTTTACTTTTTTCACACACAAACAAATATGAATGCTTACTTTGGCCAGTGTTTTCGACTAAGTGGCTACTAAAAAAGACTGGACATACCCCATATTGAATACCCTGGGTTGTCTACTTTAAAAAAAATATGTACATGTGGGGTGTTATTTAGAGATTTATGACAGATAATAGTGTTACAATGTCACTATTGATAAATTTTAAAAATGTATGTTTTGAAAACACAATATCCTACTTGTACCTATAGCCCTTTAACATGCAAAAAAAAGCAAAAAAGCACGTAAACACGGGGTATTTTTAAACTCAGGACAAAATTTTGAATCTATTTAGCAGTTTTTTTCATTCGCTTTTGTAGAGGAGTAAAAGATTTTTCAAGTAAAAGTAAAAAAACATGTATTTTTTTCAATTTTTCATCATATTTTTTTATTTTTTTTAAATTAAAATACATGAGTTTATATAAATAATGGTATGTAAAGAAAGCCCCTTTTGTCCTGAAAAAAACAATATATAATTTGTATGGGAACAGTAAATGAGAAAGCGGAAAATTACAGCCAGGGTATGGTCAGTTATTTCTAGTAGCCACTTAGTCACAAACACTGGCCAAATATTAGTTTTTTGCTTTTTTCACACAAAAACAAATATGAACGCTAACTTTGGCCAGTGTTTGTGACTAAGTGGCTACTAAAAAAGACTAAACATACCCCACACCATTATGGGGGTAATTCTCATTCCTGGGCTACCACACCGTCTCAAAGGTAACATTACTAACCTGGCAAATTTCAATTTGAAAATGGAACGTTCTATATTTGTCCCTGTAACTTTCCAAAACACCATAAAACCTGTTAATGGGGGGTACTGTTGTACTTGTGAGACATCGCTGATTACAAATATTGGCATTTTTTTGCAGTAATACCTAACAGTATTATGACATTCACAGCTACAATGTCAGACGGAAATACAAATTTAAGAAAAAAATCTTTTTTTAAATTTTATTCATAATAAATGATGTTCCATATATGAATAGTTAATGATAAATTAAAGCCCTGTTTCTCCTGAACAAAATGATATATAATAAGTGTGGGTGCACTTAATGTGACAGCGGTGAATTACGGGTGAACAGACATATAGCGCAAAATTCCAGTTTTTGTTTACGTTTTGTTTTGATCAGAACGTGCACTATTGACTCCGTCCTGAAGGGGTTAACAGTTCTGATAAGTCTCACTTCAGTGGATAATCCTCTCAGTAGGGTTATCTAAATTGTATAAACCACTGCTTAAATCACACAAATTGTTCTGCATACAATATGCCTTTTGTCAAATCTTGTTTGATTTGTAATAGTAATATATTTTGAAATGTGAATATGATTGTATAGTATTAATAGAATTAACCTTTAGTAATGATACTTGCACATGTTTTTAGATATACAAAACAAATATAAAATTTTTTTTTACTGGTAAATATTCCACTCCTTGCAGGGATATTTAGAAAATAAATAGTGGCAATAAGGAAGCATGTGCTATGCATATATTGTTTGTATGGAGGAGGGAGAGGCTCAAAGAATGTCAATTAATTATTTTTTTCCCTGCTCTTTATGCACATATTTATATACTAGAATTGTACATAGTGAAAAAAAATTGGTTGCCCAAATCAATTTATCAAAAAAACCAAAAACAAACAAACAATGGGCTCTTTGGATTTCGTCCATGTGGTGTTTTGGTTCAGAGAAATTGGGTCTATGCGACCATAACAGTAAAAATGATTCAGACAAACCAAAATTGTACTGCAGTACATTAATAGGTGCATTCTTAGTTCAAAGATCAAGATGATTGATGGCAAAAAAAAATCTATAATTGATGGTTTAGGGTCTGGTCAATAAATTTAGATTTTATTCACAGATCAAGTGAGAAGAAACCAATAGAGCTTGAAAAAGGTGGAGCAGAAAACGTCTATATTTCTATATTTATTACATATATAAGATATAAATATCAATTTTTTTTGCTCCTCCTTATTTTTTCCTCTACTGGTCACTGCTCACCTTATGTGAATACAATTCACATTTATTTATGTTCCCTAACCATCAATTACATTTTTTTTCCATCTATTATATTTTCTTTTGGCCCCATGGATAGAACTCCAAATCACAAAACAGTTTGTCCATTTAGTTTGTTTCATGATGTGTCCATAGAGCATTTCAGACAAATGGCTAATGGCCAATTGACGAAAATGCTGTCCCCTCAAAATAACTCAACACACAGCCATTAATGTCTAAATAGTTGGCAACAACAGTGAGTACACCCCTTTAAACTGACCTGTATTCCATGATAGACGCTGCTAGGCCAAGACCTCTTCGGGAACTATGACGCATTCGCTGCAATCCACTACTGAATCCCTTGATTCTCTAAGAGAAAATTATAGAAAACCTATGAATTATGCTTATATATTAGAAATTATGATTTTTTTTTGTGAGAAAATCAATTTTCTGTGTGTACAACTGTCATTTTTAAGGAAGTTTGATCAGGAAAATAAAATTTCATTTCTTTCCTGTTACTTCCTGAATGTTTTAGTGCATACCATGTTTTAGTACACGGCTTCTGTCTATTTTGTCAACTTGGAAGTTGTAAATCTTGCAATAACCAAAAATATATGTTTTTATTGATATAGCTGATAGTAGACGTGCACAAATTCTGTTAATCCCAGGATGAACAAGTTGATTTGTTCATCAAACATGAATTAATAGAATAATTTGTCCTTAGATTAACAGGCATTTGATTTGTTAATGGACCACTAAAGGCACCCAGACCAGACTTCAGCTCAATGAAGTGGTCTGGGTGCCAGGTCCCCCTAGTTTTAACCCTGCAGCTGTAAACATAGCAGTTTCAGATAACCTGTTATGTTTACATTAGGGTTAATCCAGCCTCTAGTGGCTGTCTCATTGACAGCCACTAGAGGCGCTTCTGCCATTCTCACTGTGAAAATCACAATGAGAATACGCTGACGTCCATAGGAAAGCATTTAGTAATGCTTTACCATGGGCGGTTTGAATGTGCGCGCGGCTCTTGCCATGTATGCGCATTCTGCTCTGACGTTGGCAGCGCCGAGGGAGCCTGACACTATAGTGGTCCTTTAAGCACAGTTAAATGGAGTATGTAGACTGTGTACAAGTCTAGCTGATATATCCTGTGCTTCAGACAGTTCTGGGTTTATTTTGTAAAACTTTTTTTCCAGGAACTGTGTTTTGTAGATCAATATAGCAATAAGGTGGCTTTAACTGTGCCATTAAATTCATGATGAATTATAGAATTTAGTATCTAATTTTTTCACAAACATAAAGCATTGAAAATGTACACAGCAATACAAATAAAGTACAACTACAGCTAGACTAATGCAAAAGTGTAAAAATCCATAAGGTATGTTAAAAAAGATATAGGCAGTTAAACGTAAAAAATGTGTTCCATAAACATACCAAATGAATGAAAATATATGTATTTTTGCTAAATATTAAGGGGATATGAGTGTACATTTGTACAGAGTGTATGTATACATATGTCAATACATATAATTAATTTATATTATATATACCAATAATGCCCAAAGAATTGAAAAACCATTGTGCATATGTAGCTTCTAATCAAAGGGAATTGTTGTCATAGTAAGTTTCTTTTTAATGAAAATGTGTGAGCATTGCTAAAGTTAAAGTCGTTTCTGTTTTGTGGGGGGAGGTCATTTGTACCTGTTATCAGTGCTGTATTTGCCCGAGGCAAATGAGGCATTTGCCTTGAGGGGCACTTTCCAGGGTACCGCAAAAAATGCCGTCCCCAAATGCCCAGGCTAATGCCTTGTTAGCCTCAGGGCAGACGGCTAGCTGAGCTCCAGGCGGAGAGCACATTCTGGGTCCCCGCATCACTTTGCGTTGCGCACCTGGATCTCAACTGGCCGCCCACCTGCCTGCCCAAACAGTCCGGCCAGCAGCCCCACTGGAGCCCAGGTAAAAAAACACCCAGCTCCCCCAAAGGTAGGGAGGATGGGTGGATTTAAATTAAAATAAAAAAATAATCTGTGAGTGTTGGGGGGGAAGAATGTGTGGTCACCCCAGAAGTGCCCAACAGGGTATTTGAACCTGGGTCCTTCGCTTGCTAATATGCCTCTAAGCCACAGCGGATTCTGTTCTTTTGTATATGTTCTATCCTTGCTATTTCTGGCTTTGTCTGCAACACTAGGGGGCTGCACTTCATCTGTGGCTGATACCTGTGCTTCACCTGAGGCAGATCGCTAATCATCCAGGTATTTAAGCACTGCCTTGCCCTGGGAACTTTGTCAGTCCTTTGATTCTGGTGATCGTGTGCTTGTCTCCTGATACTTGTTCTCCAGATTGACCTTGGCTTTCCTCCTTGTTTACCCTGACCCTTTGGCATCCTCTGACTTTGACTTATCCTCTAAGATCCTTCTGCTTGTGTCCTTGTTTGTACTGCGAATTGGAGCACCTTTCACACCCCCCATGCACAGATTCACAGTCCTGGTGGTTTCTAACCTTATCACCTTGGACTATGTATATCTGCAAGGGTGAGCACAAATCTCTGTCTACCGGACTCCCACCTCTGGTAAGGCCCTGACAGTCTGTCTGTCAGTGAGTCTGTGTGTGTATATCTGTCAGTGTGTGAGTGAATGTCTGTCAGTGTGTGTGTGTGTGTATGTGTGTCTGTCAGATTTTCAAGTCAGTGTATCTGAGAGTGTTTCTGTCAGTCAAAGCGTATTAGTCTTTAACAGGAAAAGGTGTGGCCTTGACAGGACGGGGCGGGGCATGTGTAAATTAGGGGGTGCCCGAGTTAAGTCATGCCTAGGGCTACACAGATCCAAAATACACCATTGCCTGTCATCCAAAGGAGCACCGGTGTTTATTGTGTGAAAAAGTATGTGAGTAAAATATTAGTTATCAGATGAACCCAAAATTGTTGATTTTGAAAAAGTAGCCATAAAATTCTGATTACAACTGAGATCATACTTACAGTTTACCAGATGCTTTCTGACAATTTTACTCATCACTACTGTTGCTTTTTAATGTTTTATTTGTTTCATTTAACAGCTCGACTGACCTGTAATGAAGATCAACATCAGTAACAGACATCCGTAGAAGACTTTGTGCTTGGTGAGAGATATGGAACATTCCATTGAAGAAAAAATGGAATTCAAGCACCAAAAATAGCATTTACACATACATAGAAAATAATTTTATAGCATGGTCAAGCGCTGAAAGCAGCCTCTATCGCACACCCAGCTCATACAGGTTTAGTGCTGGGGATGAGCAAACGGAAAGGCTAGCAAGAAAATTACTCACTGATTCAACAAATATAGTTTGGTCATGCTAAACAGTAGGAGTTAATAAATTAATTATGGCTAGGTGGATAGGAGGAGGTTTGGGATAGAAGTATAGAGCATACTAACTGAAGGAAGATAGGAAAAAGGAGGGGTTGGAATGGAAAAATGCAATCACATGCACACGTCCTTTAGACTGTCTTCAGACACTACATACCAGATGCATGCACACACTACAGAAATACACCCTACATTCACACACATCAGTAGCATTTGTTTTTCAATTTTATTTTAAAGTATCTGTAAAATATTTTGGGTTAGATAATTACAGCCTAGACCAGGGATAGGCAACCTTCGGCATTCCAGATGTTTTGGACTACATCCCCCATAATGCTCTTAAAGCCATAATGCTGGCAAAGCATCAAGGGAGATGTAGTCCACAATATCTGGGGTGCCTATCCCGGGCCTAGACAATAACAGTATGAAATATTATATACTTTGTTATATGAAAGTGTTGTATGACGTTATATGTTTGTGAAAACATTTTACACATAGTACATGTTATAGTGTCGGTGTCAAAGGGTTGCTACATGGTTATATATGTGATGGTTTAAATATTGCATATTGGCCAAATGCACATGTCATTTGGACTTTGCTATCTAAGAACTAGGATCAGTCCTAAAAGTACTGAAAACCTAATTTATTCCCCTTACACCATCGACTCATAGAATATCTGCCTAGTTTCTAACAAGTCTGCACTTAACTGAATCTTACTGCAAAAAAAATGACATGTGACCACATAGTGTCCTTGCCTGCTGGTGGCCAAGTCTGTGCTCTGCAAAAATAATTAGCTTTAACTATGGATTATATTAAAATCTAAAAGTTAAATAGGAGGGCTTATCTGTTTTAAAGCTCTGGGAATCTATGACAATATCACATTCTGAACAGATTTTCATGTGTTACATTTTATACTGGAAATGGATGAAACCTAAAGTTGATTGTCACAGTTGACTTCGACCACCTATCAGCATGAGGCTAATGTGGGCTTACTAACCACTCTTATTGTAGATAATACATTCATTTAGCGATAGCCGAGCCAAGTAGAAGCTGATGGTATCTATCTGGATTAACAACATATATCACAGAATGTGAGCTCACTGCTCTAAACTCTGAAATATCCTATCTATAAGATCAGCTAATAAAATAAAAAAAACATTAACAGAGCACTCAGTAATGGTGACAATCTGTGAATAAAACTGTTTAGTTGTGTAATAAATTTATGCTACGCATTGGTTACGTCCTGTTTCAAAGACACCAAACATAGAATTTGTAAGTTTCATTTGTTATCAGATTTGTATTCATTATCTGCAATTGAAAGGCATGGATGGGGCCCCGACAGGCACACACACACACACACATACATACACAAACAGATACATACATACAGACACAGACAGACACACACACATACAAAGACACATACACACAGAGACAGACCCACAGACACATACAGAGACACATACATACACAGACACATACACAGACAGACACAGACAGACACATGGGCCCCTTGAACGTGCGGCACCTGCGGTTTGCTGCGCGGGCCGGGCCCGCAACACATGGTGGTGGGCACCTGGTTGCAGGGGTCCGCAGGGTGGCTGGGCCCCCTGGAGTGGCAGGCCCGGTCACAGCTGCGACTGCGGTATGTACCCCACTGTGTCAATGCAATTTTGTTTTTATTCACTTTTCCATTTCTTATGCCCCTTGTTTCTTAACCTCTTAAGGACACATGACATGTGTGACATGTCATGATTCCCTTTTATTCTAGACGTTTCGTCCTTAGGGGGTTAATGAATATACTTTCCCCATTACCACTTGTCTTCATTTATATTAATTGTGTTTTTTAATTGCTACAAATCTCTATAACAAAATGCCACCATTTTGGCATCCTATGTCCATGATGTCCCTTCTGTGGGATTACTTTGATTGTTGCAGTCTGGGTAAATTATATTAGCAAATAAAATGAAACTCTGCTTAAGCTCCAACCATTGCAAAAACTGACAAAAAGCATGCTCCCCTTAAGAAAAAAAAAGTTTTGTTTTTTTCCCATTAAAAACCTAAACCTGCAAAGTGACATAGCCACTTTAACTGTGAAATGGACTTCTGGGGCCGAAAAACATGGTGCATTGAAATGTGCTCTATGTGCTAGACGTATGTTGGCTATGCTGATTTTTCATAATATTTAATTACAAATTAATCTTTTATGGCAGTATAGAAGTTAAGGATATAGATCCATGGATCTTTTTGTTCCAGATCTATGCAGCAAATTGAACTTCCACAAGAAAATATTACTCCACAAATGGGCTCTAGAGCCTTTATACCAGGCATAGGCAACCTTCGGCACTCCAGATGTTTTGGACTACACCTCCCATGATGATTTGCTAACATGAGGGGTGTAAGAGCATTATGGGGGATGTAATCCACAACATCTGGAGTGCCGAAGGTGGCCTATGCCTGCTTTATACTAACATTTATTAGGAAGACCTTTCAGATGAATGTGCAAAAACAATAAAACCACTTGTTAATGTTTCCATCTCTCATATGCTTTAGAAAATACCTGATGACCAAAGGAACTCATACCAGTCTGAGGATTTATACTTATTTCAGAGGAACAAATAGAAATAAATAGAAAGACACATTTTGTACCTGGTAAACTTTAGTATGGGAAAGTGCATTCTTCAACTGGGGGATAGCACTGAATCCCACTTCCTGTATGTCACCTAAACTGTGCTTCCTATGAGGGGGTAACCCTAAAATAACTAAGTAGGAATATGAGAATCCCAATACCCCCCTCCTCTTCTACATGCTAAGGGCTGCTAATGCCCAAATACCCACTGTTCAGTAGATATACCCCCAATAATAAAAACATGCATGCATTTAATTATGCATTCTTATATTGTGGGTTTATCTAAAAACTGCTTGCAAAAGCTGCAGATCTTATGTCTAAAGCCTTTGCAAGCCCTCCCCATCTAACACAGACAAGTTTGCCCTTGTCATGTTCTTCAGCCAAAATGACTAAGAACGCTTTTCAGTAAATTATTTAGTACCCCACAAATGACCAAACTTAAAGGGATACTATAGTGTCAGGAATACAAACATGTATTCCTGGCACTATAGTGGTTAACTAACTATTTAGGTGACCAGCCCCCCTCGGATCGCATGGAAAAGGTTTTAAACTGACCTTTTTTTTCCATGCCATGCCATCTTGCGCCAGCTAGCCCTCTGGCTCTGCCTCCATGGCTGAGATCATCAATCTGCGCCAATCAGCTTCTCCTCATAGAGATGTATTATATCAGTGTGTCTGTGAGGAAGATTCAGTGCCTCCATGCATAGGTTGGACACTCTGAACGCCAGCGCTGCATTCTTTCATTTCTCCTGATCAATAAATGCCTCCCCTTTGCTGACTTCCAGGTGCAAAGGAGTCAGTTTATAGGAATAATTGACAGGGAGCTAAAATGGAGGTGCCAAGTTTCAGGATAAAAAAGATGTAGATTTGTACTTCCACTTCTCACAAATCACAATTATCTACTTGTTTAACATAGGGGATTAGTAAACATAATATGGAAATTCCAGGGAAGTGACACTTCCCCATGAAGCCTTTTGACACCTGGGTGGATGAAATTATTAATCCCAATTGCAGCAATTACTGCTAGGCTGCCCTTGCCATTTCATTTTTATATTAATTATGTAGCTGCTTGGATAATTTAGAGGGAATTGCTCCAGTTTTTTTCACTAAACAAAGACTTTATTTGCTAAGTAGCAGTCACGGATAGTCATAAGCAGCCATCTTAGGTGAACCAGGTCTACTTGTCAATTTCTGACATGACACAGAGGGAGGGGCTTGATATTCTCTATCTTACAAATTAACTAGCTTTGTGAACCCCAGAATACCTGTATGTAATATACAAGTTTATTCTTATTATATAAAATATTTTTTATTGAAGCATTGGACCATGATTGGACCTTTCATACCACCACACCTAATGTATCAACATGATACTTTAAGTTACACGGTTTTGAAGTATCTACTATCCATTTTGTTATGGCACAAATAAAAGGAAACGGAGAGCACTTTAAATTCTACTCTAGATCATTTGTTTTCTCTGCTTGTCTTTCAATCTTTGGCACAGTTTGTCAGACCGTAAGTCTCTGCTTGTTGCCTGTCTTCATGCAATTGTCTTGCGGCCTGTTCATATTTTAAAACCCACATTTGACTCATAATCTAATATATTGTCTTTGTGTTTGTTTATATATGTATAACTTTCTCCATTTGTTTATATGGTGACTATTATACAAACTGAGTCAAGAAGAAATAGGGACCACCCATGTTAATTTACACATCAAAGACCCTCATAGTGTGTTAATGATTGAGTGGTAGGGTATCTATATCCTAGATACACCCATTTGGTGATATTAATATATTAAGTTTGGTTCCTGAAGGTCTAAAACCAAGAAAAAAACCTTTAATGTAAGTATATGTGTGTATGTTTTCACTCCGTTTGTATTGGTTTTGAATGCTGTATATAGAGTCACTGAACATAAAAGGTGATATTGCGCAAACTCATTTTGGATAATGTTAGGGCTGGATATTCTAAATCTGTAATCTATAATTTTATCCTTAATGTTGCAGATGTGTTTTTTAGTTTGCATTTCACGGTTTGGTGAATAATCCTTGGCTTTGTCTTGTTTTGTTTTTTACCGTCACAAACTTTTCTTTGTTGGAATTTGCAATTCCCTGGTGAATTGCTAACAATGCTTGACTTAGCGAAAAGCATAGTCTTCAAATATATGTTTCAGACACCTGGAACTGAAATTAGGGACTTAAAAGGATCACTGAAAAAAATATATCACACAAAGTCATCTAAGGACAGCTTTTGATTTATTGAAAAACACAGGTTTATGACTTACAACTGACAATGGTAGTTAATGTCTGTTAGTTATTCGTTGAAGCATGCTTCTATTTGATAAAAGAATTTGTTAATTTAATACTCTTTTCTCTCTTCAGGTTGAAGCTATGCTGCCAGCAGAACCTGTTTCACAGGAGACAGGTGCAGTAACTAACAGGACCTTAAATGACTTTCTTGGAAAGCGCCATAATGCTTTTATCCTATGTATGCAGAATTTTGAAAGAATGAAAGCTTCTTCTGCCAAATTTTACCAATAAAAAAAAATAGAGCTATTAAAACACATATGTTGTTCAGTATGGAGTAATGTTTGTTTCAGCCCTCCATACCTCTCAAAATGTCAAATGGACAAAGAGGGACATTTTCATTTTAGGGCTTACTGATAATAATTTTTGCAATTTCAATCTAATTTCAAACAAGAACAATGCATCTTATTTACACCGACTGATTTCTAAACACAATTATAGTTAAAAAATGTTTCAAAAAAAAAACATTACCCTACGTGTTATTGCTGTGGAGCTCTGTTAAAAAATATGGAGCAGCTAGACAAGAGGGATAGTGGAATAGAAAAGAGGGACAGATGGATTTGGGCCTTAAATAGGGACTGTCCCATCTACAGAGAGGCATCATCGGTATTCAAAGTTTTGATAAATGTCCTGTAGCAGAGAATGACGTTTTGTAACTTCAGTTCATATGAGCCTTGTTTAGCATCTTAAAAGTAGCAACACCTGAAAAACTACTGCTGCTACTTATTTAGGGATCCTTAAAGCTTATATCTGTAGTATGTACAGGTAGTCATTCTATTATTGTGTTTTTTATATTTCCCCACAGAACAGAAAATGTAAAAAGAGCCTCTAATTTGACTTATCACTACTGATATTTCAAGAATTTCTTAATTAATATGTGGGGATGAGATGGCGAGCCATTGAATTCTGGGATTTATTTCCTGCTACAACAGAGAAGGTCTGAGATCCCTTGGAAAAAGGCAATAGCCGAAACATTGGGGAGGCTTGGTTTCCAGCCCTAGGTCACTATACATGGTAACATATCTAACGGGTAATCAGCTTGCACTTTATTGTTATTAGTGGGTAGTGTATACACTTGTCTATTATGCACTTTATATTGTATATCAATTGTCTGGTGTATTGATTGTATCAAATAAAATCTTTTCTTTTTGCATAAATTGGTGTGCAATGGTTTTCGTATAATTCTTATGTGGGGTCTTGATAAGGTAATGAGATTTTTCCCATTTTTAACACCCTGTTTCAATAGTGCATGTTACACTGTGTTACCAGCAATAGAGTTGAGCGCTTACTATATATTTTGTATGTATACAATAGAGAGGGTAAACAGGATTTTATATGGTTTTATAGATTTCTGAGGACCAGTGAACAAAAAAAAAGATTGCTTCTTCATTTTGAAGAGTGGACAGCAAGGTTGGTACAGTTCATAACATGTTACAGAAGTCCAAATAACCATCGCCCCCTCCATTCGAATTGCTTGTTTATTTATGCAACAATATGCACTTCATACACAACTTCCAGGTTTCACAAGAACCTATGTTCTCTAACACAGCTTAGATGCAGATCTATTCATTATCCAACATTACAGCTTTAACTTGATCATGTGGGCAGAGAATAAAAACTACATTATACATGTGTCTACAAATCAAGAATGCCCTCTCATATCTTAATATACTATAATATAAATATATTTAAGGCAGGGCCTGTAGTTGTGGGAGAGGCTTGAGGTTCCCTTTATAAGGGCCTCCAATTCTAGCTCACATACCGTGATTGGCCTGGCGAGTTAATAGCTTACCTGTATCCACTTTGTCCTGTCTCCTGGCTTGCTGTCCGTTTTTTCATCTTGGTTTAAAATACATACATTTATTGCAACTTTAAATATAAAAACAAAAACATAGAATTAAATAAAAATATCCAGTTGCTTCTATATACGATAACGAATGTTCCAGTAATTAGCTCCAGTCCCAAGACGCGTTTCACCCACACTATGCGGGCTTTTTCATAGTGTGGGTGAAACCCGTCTCGGGACTGGAGCTAATTACTGGGACATTCTTTATCTTATATAGAAGCAACTGGATATTTTTATTTAATTCTATGTTTTTGTTTTTATTTTTCAATTGAAAAAGCCCCCATAGTGTGGGTGAAACGCGTCTCGGGACTGGAGCTAATTACTCGGACATTCTTTATCTTATATAAAAGCAACTGGATATTTTTATTTAATTCTATGTTTTTGTTTTTATATTTAAAGTTGCAATAAATGTATGTATTTTAAACCAAGTCCCATCAGCTTCTAACTTCATCTTGCTGCTAAAGAAGGGCAGGTGCCCCCCTCTTGAGGTACCCAGGTCTATCATCTAGAGACAGGTTCTCATTGGCTCAGGAAAAGGTGAGCACAACCATAACCACTGTGTTTTTTTTTTGGTTGAAACTTACACTAGGAAGTCTCCCTTTCTCTCTCCTTTGAGGAAATCCATTCCAGGCAAAAGGGTGCAGTGTCTCCATATGACACTACTGTGCAAGTGATTTGAGCCTGTCCCTTTAAGGCTCTGATCAATGTGAGTTTGACTACTTGAATTCTCACCAAAATACATTATCACCTGTGGATTTACACTATATTGTGTTTTATTTTTTGTTTCCTTTATATGTACTGATATACATCTGAGATTTAACCATATTTTAGGGTAAGTTTATACCTTTAGCGCTCCACTCATTTGATTAGTAGAGTCTGGACGTTATATCCAGATTGTACTAAGCTCACTTTGGTTCATTACTATAATTAGTGGGGATAAGAGAGTATCCACTAGAGTGTGTAGCTGCTTATTTTTAACTCAATTACATTTGTAAGCGCACTATACACAGTAATCACCAATCTATGTGACATGTGGATTTAGTGCATGTAGACTGTTGCACATTTGTTCCTATTGTTTCTGGGCTCATGCTAAATCCATGTGCCCAAATAAAATGTACCCTAAACCCTACCTAACTTGTATTGATAGTGATTGTTTTTCTGACCTGTTAAGGAGTCACCCTTCACGACACTTGGTTCACTTTTTGGTTGAGGGATTATCACAAGGGTTTCACACGGGTATCATTTACTTGCCATCTGGTACGCTTGATGTAACAATTTACAGTCAGCCTTAGCAGATTCAGATTCGGTAGAGATACTGCTAAAGACAGAGTTGGAACCGGAATGAAAAAAGAAAAGTGGGTGGAGCTTTGACCGCTGCGACAGCCGGGAAACACGAACGGTACCTTGTGAGAGCTGGGACCGCAACCTGATCACATACGAGACGGCAAACTGCAGAGACTCCAACATCTATATGGGAGATCCCTCAATGACTGAGCGTAATTATGAGTAGCGGGTACATGTACCGTAGTACTCATCACTTTACCTTGTAAGTGGCTGTGCATCTCAATTGTGTCTTTTAGGGACAAAATGATTTGTTTTTATTTTTTAATGATTTGTTAAATAAGTATCTTATATAAATATGGTATAGATATATTATATTCTAATCCACTCCATTTGTATGTGTGACACTAGTTAGCAGATTTACACTATTGTGTCTATTTTTCTATTTTTTTCCTTTATGTATCGTATGACCCCTTGACTGATTACTGGCTGCATAAGTATTAACGTTTTGAACTATTCCTGGGTGTGGGGTACCTCACGTAAATATCGCTCCACTTCTTGTTACTTTAGAGTTGGAACAGGGATTTTTTCTCTGCCCTTTTAGGTCCCCCTTTCACCTTATGGAGAACAAATCGGATTGGGATAGTCACTGGCAAATCTTCCCATAAAAGCAGATTGATCATTGACCTATCAGCACCACACTTCTCCACGTTTCCTAGTCTTAACTCCCTCATACCCTCTGATGAGTTTTCTTTAGAATACTCCACCATTGACAATGCCATCTGGGCCATTCTCACGGTTGGGGCAGGGGCATGGCTCAGCAAAACCGATATTGACAATGCATTCAAATTACTTCCTTTCCCTATGGCATTTGCATGGAATTAAGTGGCAGCGTACTATATTATTTTTTCACCAGACTCACGTTTGGTTCCAAGAGTAGGCCCAAAATATTTAATATTTTGGTGAAAACCCTTTGCTGGTTGCTACTTAACGTGTGCAGATGCCCTATGGTCATACATTACTTAGACGATTTCCTTACAATAGAAGACAACTCTCCTCCCTCACAGTATTACAGCGGCAATCTGTCTTTTTTAATTCCTGGGGATACCAGTCTCCTCTTAAAAGACTGAGGGTCCTGACACGTTAATTCCTTTTTTGGGGATTTAACTTGACTCGGTTAATATGCTATCCTGTCTTCCCCATGATAAAATTGAGCGAACTTTGTCAAGTATCGACATTTACCTAAGATTGGGTTCCTGCAACCGGCAGTAACTGCAGTCTCTGCTTGGCTCGCTCAATTTTGCCATGGGAATCATTCCACAACACAGATCTTTTATTTCACGACTACTCTGTTTGTTTCCTCACCTTCCTTCAGACTACTCATGCATTGCTTTGGACCCTCACGCAATGGCAGACTTACGCATGTGGCGCAATTACTTGCTACCTTGGAACGGGAAGCCGATGTTTATCCCACCAATCTCTGACAGTTCCCTGACAATCTGGACAGATACTTCATATGTTACTGCTAATTATATGTTGTCTAACAATTAAGGCAATACTGCCCCGACCACAAACATATAATATAAGTAATTTGTAACCTAGTTGTCTGCAGACAGAAAAATGGGCAATCGCATACCACTACATTCCCTTGTAAACCTTTGATAAGTCATGAATGAATAAATCCGATTGAACGAGGTATCATTATTAAAACATTCTAGAGAGACTCTGTTTGCCCAGTGATAACAAGGTAGTGATGAGTAATGTAGGAACAAGCAACAATCATTTCTTTGTCCAACCTTATTCCGTAAATATTAAGCACAATGCATTCAATATATACATGGATTTATTCAGTATAGGGATTTCTTTCACCTAGACAGGGAAGTTCTTTAACTTATCATAGTAAACTACAGGAACAGGTTTAGTACTTTAGACATTCCTATTTGTTTATGTATTATTGTTGGAAATTTGAAAGTGAATTTCAAATGTAAGATCAAAGTAGCCAAACTAGTAGCATAACTCACTGAAGGAATGTTTCCAGTTTGGCTACTCTGACCTGAAATTTGAAATAAATTCTGAATTTACAACATTTTCCACCTAAGCAACTGACCCTGACAAACTTAGGCCTGCCTGCATAGGCGTGCGCAGCCTGTTGCATTAAGGTGTGCACCCTAAAGCACAAACACACACGCCACGTGTATATGTGTAACGGAGTCTTACCTGATAGGGAGTCCAGCTCGCAGAGTTATACGCTCACCCTTGCAAAGTAGACACAGACCAGGGTGACCAGGTAAGACGCCACCTGGCCTGTGAGTCTGTGCACGGGGGCTTTCCAGGAAAAGTGCTCCAAGACTCAGTACAGCAGGGATAAGCAGAAGCGTGGTCAAGGGAAGCCAAAATCAGGGAAGCCAGAGGTCAGAGTAGTCCAGGAGGAAAGCCAAGGTCAGAAGCCGGAATAGACAAGAATCACTGGAACGCAGGTACAGAGTAACAGGAACCAAACAAGAGAACCAGAGTCAATGAACTGACACCCCTCCCAGGGTGAGGCAGGCTTTTATATCCTGTTAATTAGGTATCAGATTCAGCTGGAGAGTTACTGACAGATCAGAGCCTTTGGTGAAGTCCAGCCCCCTGGCGCTGCAGGCAATACAAGAATAAACAGGAGTTATCCAAAGTCCTGAAATGGCTCAGAGGGAAAATAGCAGGATACGGTCCAGAAGAACCACAGTTCAAATCCCCTATTGGGTGCTTCCGGAGCGACCACGTCTGGCAGACTGGATGTCACGGCGTGAACCGTGACAATATGTATTTTTATATACACATACATCCACACATACATATACAAATATACATAGGTGCAGTGTCTGTGTGATTGTGAGCGGTGCAGTGTGTGTGATTGCGAGGGGTACAGTGTGTGTGTGTAATTGTGAAAGGTACAGTGTGGTGTAATTGTGAAGGGTGCAGTGTGTGTGATTGTGAGGGGTACAGTGTGTGAATGTGAGGGGTACCATGTGTGTAATTGTAAGGGGTACA